ATATTGTCAATAGTCTGGTTTAGAAGATCTGTAACTCTAATTCGCCGCAACCGTTGAAAAGTTGAAAAATCATTTATTCATATATTATATTTAAACCATTATAAATTTAATTATTTTTTAAATCTATAAACGTTTTTCAAGTTTATTTTCAAATCTATAAAAAGTTGTCTAAATTGATTTTTTGCACACACACACACACACACATTGTAACGGAGAATTACGGCCCGACCGTTGCTCTCCGTCGAGCTCTCGTCAATGCCCGCCCATCGAGCCAGGCTGAGAGTGTGTGTAGGTTGAACACACTCTCATTGATTGGTTTGTGTGTTTGAGATGCGACGGCAGCGACGGCAGCGACGGCGAGCAGGAAGAAGCACGCAAGACATAAGACGACAGAGAGAAAAAGAGAGAAAAAGAGAGAAAAAGAGAGAAAAAGAGAGAAAAAGAGAGAGAGAGACACACACACACACAGAAGAAAGAAAAAAGAAAGAGAGAAGGAGTTGCGCGCCCATCCTCGTGCCGATTTTCGCGACATTTTTGCACAGGTCGTCATGCGTGTGCTGTTTTCATCGTCTTTATGAGTTTCCCACGCCCTCACCGATAATCGTCAGTTTTCAAATACGCGCCCGGTGCAAGATGAAGTCTAGTGCGCCATCGAAATGTCGGCTAGGTCGCGCCCAGCCTAGATTATTTTGGTTTCTGCACCGGTGCGCGTGTGTTTTCAGCGAGGTGTCACGGGCGCGCGCGCGTGAGCGGCCATTGCCCTTACTCGTGCGCAAATCGATAAATCAAAGGGAGACGTGGTGAAAGAGAGGATTAGTGGAGGGAAAATTGGGAAGGATAAGGTGGAAGAAGGGGAAGGAGGAAACAGTAATAGCAACAACAACAACAGCAGCCACAACAACAGCAACAACACTAACAGCAGCAACAGTTAGTGTATGCGTTGTTCATACTTTTTCGTTTTGAGGGAGGCACAGCGTAATCAAACATTACCACCCCTCTCCCTGGGCGCCGAAGGTTGGCATAGCCCACTGTCTTTCACTCCTTCGCTTTCAAATACTTTGGAGATCCGGAAGTCAAGTTTGCTACGACACCCCTAAAGCTTACAGTGAGTCGGAGCCTTGTTAATCTAAGACGGCGACCTCCTCGAAAGGACTACCGATCTTTTCAAGGTTGACGCTCAAGAAGAGCGGAACTAAAGGCTTGACCCTTGGTTTGGGCGTGACGGGATTCGAGTTGTCCCAACGTCTACCGCGTCAGAAGCACGCGGCATACAAATCTTACGAGATTTACTTGATCCGGTACCACTACCCCGCAGAAGCCAACCCAAATCGGGATGTCAGAAGAGAGATCCAGCTAGGACAGTCAGAGGAAATTTCTAAGACGACCAACCAGCCAAGCCTCTCCTCCTGGGCTCTCGTTCAAAACATCCCACCCTGCATACCTGTATTAAGAGATTGCTCCCACGACTCACAGGTCCCTCGCTTCGACGTACCAGGGCACGTCTTCCCATTGCGTTTCGGTCATCCCCACTCACGCTGGTGGGTATCCGTTATTCGAAAAGTTGTTTCCTGATTTTCGCCCTAATTTCGGATTTCGCTTTCTATGGAAAGGCTTTTGTGACTCGCTGATATTGATCTCTGCTCTTTCGATTAATATTTGCTAACTTTTGGTCAGGGTCGGTGTCTCGCCTAGCCGACAAGGCGACTCCCCATGCAGTTTTCAATATTCGTGCCAGTCATGCCACTCATTCGAATCAATTTCCGAAATTCAGGCTTAAATAAGGCGTTTAATTAACGTTCGAAATTAGCGTTCAAATTGTTGTCTTGACCATATGGCCTGCGTTCTCATAGGAGAGCGTTGTGGGTTTTCCCTCCTATCTCCTTGCGGAGATAGTGTTTTCAGCCCCACCACGTAAAGGTACACACATCCGCACTTATGACTGCAAGTATTCTTTCAGTTTACATTGCATTTACTTCGGGTCGACTAGTATTTGATGCTTGTCGAGAGCAATCGGTGACGCATTTTGTACATCAGCATTTGCATTTGCGTGTGCCCGTATAGAAAAGAGAAGTTTACGACATCCTCTCCCAAAACAACGAATTGTTTGTTTGAGAAGTCTCCATTCTCTGTTGAGGAAGACAATTATTATCTGCCGCTTCGACAAAAAGATTTTTGCACAAAATGGCCATATGGTGCAGTATGTGTATCATCTATGTTTTTTGCTAAGCGGATCATAATCGAGCTTCCTGAGAGCATCGTGATTGCAACCGCCTAACAGCAGTAACAATAACACTCACACACCGTAAACAATAACAACACACACATACCTACATACATACACACGGAGGAAGAGGCGACCACGAGAGCTGAAGCCGGTAGACGAGGTCAGTGCCAAGTATTCTCTTTTTCTCTCTCTCTATATCCGTTGGCGCCAGTGAATCAGCTCGTAGCGGGGCAAATCTGCCAGCTATGCAGCCGGCCGCGAGTGTTGTTTGTTGCGTCGGAATTTTGTTTTGTTTTTTTATATAATATATTTAAGTTAGTTGACGAATCGGTGGGCAGATCTGCCACAAAATAAAACAAAATAAAGTGCGCGGACACATTCCAAATGTTGACTGTGGCATATGGTGAAGCTATCTTGGACCAAAGCAACGTTTATCGGTGATACAAAAGGTTCTCAGAGGGCCAAGAAGTTGTGAATGACGAACAACGAGCGTGACGCCCGAGCACGTCAATAACAGATGAAAACATATCGATTGGCTCATGCCATTCGATTTTAACCAATGATTTTGGCATGAGTCAAATCGTCACGAAATTCGTGCCAAAACTGGTCAATTTCGATCAAAAACAGCATCGCGTTAACATTGCTCAGGAGATGTTGGACTTGGTCCGTGACGACCCAAATGTTCTCCAGAGAATCATAACTGGTGATGAATCATGGGTTTATGGTTATGATGTGGAAACCAAAGCTCAATCATCCCAATGAAGGCTACCGCATAAGCCAAGACCGAAAAAAGCGTGTTAAGTTCGGTCGAACGTGAAGGTTTTGCTCACAGTTTTCTTCGATTACAAGGGCGTGGTGTATCATGAGTTCTTACCACAGGATAGTACGGTCAATAAGAAATATTACCTGCAAATTATGTGCAATTTGCGCAAAGCGATTCGCCAGAAACGTTCAGATTTGTGGAAGAACAAAAACTGGCTTTTGCACCATGATAAAGCCTTTGCTCAGACATCATTGCTTGTACGCGAATGTTTGGCCAAAAACAACACAGTAATGGTGTCGTAGCTACCATATTCCCCAGACCTGGCCTCCCGTGACTTTTTCCTGTTCCCAAAACTAAAGAAGCCCATGAAAGAACGACGCTATGCCACGATTAAGGAGATAAAGATGGCATCGAAGAAGGAGCTGAATAAGATCACAAAAAATGATTTTTTTAAGTGTTTCGAGGATTGGAAAAAACGTTGGCACAATTGCATTATATCGGAGGGAGATTACTTTAGAGGAGATAAAATAGATATTGAAACGTAGATACACCACTATACTCCTGAGGTGAAGAAACGGTCAAAACAGTGGATTGTGAAAGGTCAACAAGCTGCAAAGAAATCGAAGACAGTGAAATCGGCCGGCAAGGTTATGGTCACTGTTTCTTGGGGTGCATGTGGAATTATCTTCGTCGACTATTTAGGAAAAGGACAAATAATCACCCGACAGTATTATACGTTGTTGTTGGATCGATTAAGCAAGAAATTAAAGGAAAAACGTCCTCATTTGAACAAAAAAAATTCTGTTTCATCAAGTCAATGCATGAGTGCAAACTTGCTTAGTTTTAATGACTAAAATTAAGGAACTGAAGTTCGAATTAGTAGACCATCCATTGAATTCATCAGATTTTGCCCCTAGTAATTTTTTTTTATTCCCAAACCGTAAAAAGTGGCTTGGCGGACCAACAATTCATCGCGAACGAGGAGGTCACAACACAAACAAATGGCTATTCTAAAGAACTTCCAAAATTATTTTTTTCTGATGTCTTAAAAAAATTTGAAGGACGCCTGAAAAAGTGTACCGAGCTGAAAGGAAATTCTGTTGAAAAATATTAAAAAATCTATTAAAAAAAAGTTTTTGATAGATAGAGTTTTTCTATCTTTTTCTAAGAACTTATTGACCCACCCTCGTATTTCTCTTTTATAGATGCTTTATGCAAGTCTATCTGAGGCAATGTATTAATTAGTTGTAAACAATTTAAAAATATTATATAACTCTGTTATATTTCTAACACATCAGACGCGGTTCCATACCATACTAAAATAAAGATAACTCAATTCAACTCTCTTTCTTACTTTTCTTTCTTATATATTCTTAGGGTGTTAGGTTGTTTCAATGTAATTAATTCGTCAATTAAATGTTGTCACTATCTTAAAAGAAAGAGACAGAAAGTATAAGTTTTATGCTTATCACATAATATACTCAGAGCTTAGCGATCACAAGTGGATGATAATAGAGAGTTGATTTCTCCTATACAATGTGATTTAAAAAAAAACAATTATACTTCTTTAACATAACAGATGTATGAAATATGTTAAATATAAACTTTAATTTTTCGTGAATGAAGAGTTTAGATTATCAAATACCATACTAGTATCATGTTCTTTGATAAATATGCCTTGAATATACTTATAAAAGAAATTGAAGGTCTCAAGAATTAATAAATAATTTATCCGAAAATGGGTACATTATTGACTGATACTAATATGAAGAAGAAGAAATCAGATGACTTAGTTATGGGAAAGATATCACTCTAGGTCGATATCTTTTGATTTTTTGTTTTCCTTATATTTGATGTCTTTGATTTTGGCTATGTATAATAATTTAATCATAGATCACATTTTGATCTCATAATATTTGATATTTATTCATAATAAGTCATACAAAAAAACTTTCAGAAAAATATTATAAATATAACTAATTTTTAATTTATAATCATAACTTATTAGCTCACCAATTGATGACAATGCAGTTTCTTCAACCACGGCGAGACTACTGTTGTGAATTGTAAGATGGTGTATATCCAATCCCAAAAAAACAAATCCTTGTAGCTTGGGCAGATTGTTGTGTCGTAACTTCAAATAAAATATAACTGAACTCTGCCTTTTTTTTAGACTATCCATTGCTCTGCTGATGTGAAGGAAATCAGTGAACTCGCATATAACATCTAATCCACTTTTCTTAATTCCACATGTACAAGGCGTAATTTCTGATAATGGAGGACATTTTTGAATTGATTGATTTTCTTCTAATGATTGAATAAATCGTATTTCTAGTCCAAGAAAGATATATAAAATAACATGCATAAAAAAAATCATTGTTTCTCTTTAAGTAAATCTTTCCTTTAGATTGATACAGAAAATTTTGTCACATAGTTCTCCTAAAATCAACTAGGAAAATATTTTACTTGTCAATCCTGTAAAAAAATAGTAAATTAATTTATACAGTTTTCGAAATGCACTAATTTTAATCCAAATATTTTTACTATTCAAAATATTACTGAAAATTCTATTTTTCTCTTTTTATTTTTAGAACAAAAACTTTGCAGCTTGTGACAGGATTACAGCGAGTTCGCTGGCCCTGTGTGCAGTACTTTCTTTACACGAACGCGGAAATCGAGTATAGCTCTATCAACAGAGTGTACATGCTTGTATCGCTAGAGAGGGAGAGTCGCAGCCGGCGGGGCAGCACCACAAGAAAAAGAGCGAGAGTAAAATGTACGAGAGAGAGAGAGAGAGCAGTGCGTGTGGCGGCTATTAAAGAGAGCGACGAAAGAAAAGGAAGAATGGACAGTTAGCTGACAGCTAAGTGAGAGAAAGCTCGCCTAAGAGAGAGAAGAGAGGGAAAACCCAGCACACCGAGGATTGGCAGGTTATCGCCGTAGCGATTTAAACATGCACGCTTGAGTCCGCGTTCCAAATTAGATTTGTGTGAAGGTCATGAACGGCAAATAACAGTCATAATAATTGCATGATCACGCAAAACCGAACGAGGGATAGCCGCCTCCACGATGACGGTTATCATTCCTCGGAGGCTTCTCCCCGCTAGACTACAATTTTACCGTTTTCACCTCTGCTCTTACGAGCCACGACAACCCGGTGGGTCGCTCTTTAGAGCGTTTGATTTGCTCTCGCTTGTTCATGACCGATCATTTTCTCGATTTTCTCGGTTCGGCGCTGAGCGTACACGTTCGCGCTTCGCGTTATACTGTCACTCCTAGGTCAAGCGTGTTCACTCACCCACGCCTTTCTGAATTAGTTTGTTAAATTCGTAGTTCGATATTGGCGTAATAAAGTTGGGATCACTTCTTTGCAATTACAATTTACATTTTATTGTCTTGATAATATCCTTTTCTCTCTTAGCCAGTACAAATTGTTCTATCTGTGAAAGTCAGCGCCAGCTTCCTTGATTAAGATTAAGGGGTAACATCTATGTAGAGACGTGTTTTTGAAGGACATTTTCGGAATTTTTTTTTAGAAAGACATAATATTTAATGCAAAATCTAATAAGTTGTCTTTATTATACATGGTTTGAACTACACAAATTAATTTTTACAATGGATTTAAAAACAAAATGGCGCCTGTATAGAGCTATAAGTAGAGCAGCAATTTTTAGAGAGGCCTCCACTACCACCAATTTTTTATCGTCGCTATTGATCTGAAACACATAAATTAAATTTTTATTTATTGTATGGACTAAAAACAAGAGAACTACGTAGGGGTTTTCAAAAATATTAAATTTTAAAATTTTTGCAAAAGTTCGAAAAAAAATTTTTTTTTTTCGTTAAAAAAAGCATGAAAAATCAGCCGTAAAATAAAAAGTTTTCAACTTTTCATCAAAATCCTACGCTTTTCTCTAGAAAATGCTGTTTTAAAACTTGTACTGAAATTTGAAATCGATCGGATCAAAATTGACTGAATAATTATGGTGGTAAAGTGAAAAAAAGTCGTTTCGAGAAAAACACTTTCAAAGTTAGAAAACGGGAAAAATCGAACATAGTTTTAAAAATATTCACTATAAACGGTTTTCACCTTCATTCAGCGATGCCAGCACCATAAAATTGACCTTCCAAGTTGGTATGTCCTTGCTGTTCTTCTCTTCTTGACGATTTCAAAGCCAGGCGAGCCTCCCTCGCCGCGTCAGTTAGCGAGCGCTCCGAGGACTGGATACGCTTCTCGTCAAATTCGGCGCAATAATTGTAGCAATTGTCTCCAATTTTGAGGTCCAACACACTCATCACGTCCATAACACTTGAAATACCGTCATTGAAGATGCAAACAGCAAGATCAGCGCAAACAGAGAGCACGTTCATGCCACTCGACACATGTTTTGGCGCCATCGACCACAGGAGCGCGTTGAAACTTTCGTTGCTGTTTTGTGTGTAGCCCCCCAGGCAGCGATCCAATAACTCATCCTTGGTCAAATCTTCGTATATTGGTTTGATGGCATCGTAAACTTCGTTGTTGAGGGGCTTCACGTGCTCGTAATTGTTTAAAGTACCCTCTGCTTTCGCTCGTTGCCATGTACACCATGAGTCCACGCCGATCGGACAGTGGTCATGCTGTGGGTTCTCGTTCGTGGATATTTTATGAGAAAGTGTTGTCCAAATAGCATTCTTCATATTCTCTAATGAATGAGGGTTACGACGAATCGCCAAGCCATAATATTTATTGAGTTCGTCAATCAACTTCCCAGTAAGTTTTCCTCGTCCGCCCAATCCTTTCTTCGTTTTGACAAGATTTCGCAAGCGAGTACCCATACGTTTTTGTACATGACCGATGCACTCCTTTTTCTTTATTTTTATATTCAATTTCTTATACGGATCTAATTCTTCAACCCCTTTGTAAGTCTTACAGTCGCCGTCTCCAACATAGTTCACGTAAGGCACACCGTGTAAAAGGATAGACCGACCAAACATTTCTTTTGCAGCGTCCACTTCCATTTTTCCTGCAGATCCTTTATGATTCGCTTGGCATTCATTTTCATGCGTTTCGAACCACTCTGCATATTCTTCTGTGCCTTCTTTCTTCTTCCAAAACTCGCAAGACTTACAATAGCTAGATTTCACAACAATATCTACAACTTTTCCGGTTGTCCAACCAATCAAAGTCACTATACCAAACAGCGATGAGAAACCTCGTTTTCTCCATGTTCCGTCGCCAGAAACTGTGATCCCCTCTGTTTGTTCATTTTCAGCAGATAATTTTATTTCTTCTTGAGCTGCTTTCTTCATACTTGCGTCCCGCACGCTTGCTGTTGCTACCAAAATTGTCTTCACAATAGAGTCATATACGGACTGAAACATTGGACGAGGAATTTCCATAAACGCACAGAATTTTGACAAGCCATTCAAACCCACTCCTATCAAACGCATTGCCAATATTATCCGACGATTAATATCATAGGCATTTCTGATAAATGGACTATTGGGCACACTAGCTATCACTTTTTTTTCACTTTTTTTGGCACAAGTAGAACAAACGATGTCAATTTTGAAGCCCAAGCCACGTTTTGATGATTGGTAGAATTGCACTGTTGAATGGCAAATACGACACACAACATGCTCTGAAATTTCTGAAAAAACTGACACAAAAGCAACGAAGCAATACATGAACGCCGGATCAACAGTCGCATCGCACGGGGAAGCATTTTTCAGTTTTTTCGCTGACGCGCTCACTCCTGACAAATCAGCTTCTGCTTCGTAACGATTCATAGGACGATGCTTTCCCATTTTTCGTTTGCGATTCGTCGATATGGTGCCTTTTTTTGTAGCAAACACTGGTTTATTCGACGCCATACTCATGAAAACTTTCGCTGCAATAGTATTTGAACTCTAGAACACAACTGTCAGTTAGCGTGGTGCCAACGGTCAAACTGACGCCACACTTATACACTAACACAAATACATTTCAAAATCGCACTAGTGCCACTCTTGGGCAGCCTTGTGTACTATTTTCGAGTAGAAACAGTCGTAAAGGGATATCTCAGGTAGGTAAGCATTTCGGAGCGAAGGGCGCACCGCGGGACCGCGACCGCGCAGCGGGATACCTAGCGTATAATGCTCACAACTCAGAGAAAAATTTTTTTTTCGTAAAATCACTTTGGGACGTTCTTTTTAACATGTTTCTCTACTATATTAGCTTAAAAAAAAAAATTGAATTTTTGAAATTTCTACATAGATGTTACCCCTTAATTTATGTTAAAATTTAGCAGAGGTTGGCACTTGGCTCACGGCGGTCAAGTTCTCTTGCAAGCTTTGTATATATATTACAACGGAATTTATTATGACCAAATCGAACTATACGAGTATATATATATATATATATATATATATATATATATATATATATATATATATATATATATATATATATATATATATATATATATATACAGGGTGATTCAGAAGGGTTATAGTTCCCAAAAATGGGCTGTAGAAAAAAATTTTCTGAATCGATTGTTTTCAAAAAATTTGTATTATCAATACTTTCCTAGAAAATTAATTTCAAAAATTAATAATTTTGACCAATCAGAGCGTCGGTCGACTACCAAATTTCTTCTCTTTTGCTGTTTTCCCCTTCACTTGGCCGTAGCAACCAAAGCGGTGATTGAGACGACACGGTAACTAACATTGCAAAATATCAATTTTTGGTTGCTTAGCAGCGCATCGAAGAAAGAACCACCTTGTAAAGACGCCATTTTCTTAGAATAAACTGTCTAACAACGTAATTTATTTTTTTTATAACTTTATAACAAACATGTACATTTAAATTAATTTTACGTAAATTTATAATAATTTTATGTAATAAGCGTACGAAAGTACACGACTTCGATGTTGATCTTGGCAATATTTTGCTACTTTAATTCGAATGAAACCCTTTTCATTCAAAACGTCATGATAAAATATGTTCACGAATCTTTTTCTGACGCTCGGAAAAGTCTCTGACATTAACCAGAGAGGAGAGACGGAAAGTTTGTAATTTATTTTTTTTAATAACTTTATAAGAAACATATATATTTAAAGTAATTTTTCTAATCAAATCAAAAATGATTCTTTTAGTTCTTACTAGAAATACAAATAAAGAGCATTTAAGTAAAAATTTAATACTGAGATTTTTTGTTTTCAATTATTGCTTATTGAGTGAGATTAATTGTATCTCGCTTAACATTCGATATTACTAACGGTGACATTACTACCCGTGAAACTTTTGCCGACACTCGGAAAAGCCTCTTACATTAGCTACAGAGGAGAGGGGAAATACGCGCAGACAAGCATACGAAAGTACGGGACTTCGATGTCGATTTTGGAAATTTTTTGCCATTTCTATCGGAATAAAACTTTTTTTCTTTATCATTCGCTGTTGTTTATAAAAAATATTTTGAATCAATTATTCAACAGTTTTTTATTTTCAAAAA